CACGCGTGCCTCTTCCGCGGAGCGCGGGCTCACGCGAGAAAACACTGGCAAGCTGTGAATATTCAGACTTCGATATCCGGCAGATATTCCTTTAAAATTCTGGCATTTCGGGGTAAAGGACGGAAGGCATTTTGGTGAATACGCTTATAACGTTTGAGTGTTCAGCTAGAAATTAGAATTTTTGAACACTGTGTCCGCACCGTGAGTTTTCCAGTTTTCCAATCCTCAGACACTTTTCTAGTGACGTGGGTGGAGCTATCAAAGGAGTGGGCCGGTCTCCCTGGTAATCTTTGCTCTAGAATCTGTTTTGTCTAATACTCACACGGTCGCTCCAGTTTTATTTTTATTAGTTGCCGCCCTGAATTTATTTTTCCATCCTTTTATTTTTAACTTTTTTTTTTCTTTTTTTTGAGTTGGCGTCTCACTCTGTCTCCCAGGCTGGAGGGCAGTGGCCGCTCCCGGCCACCGCAGCCTCGACCTGCTGCGCTCCGGCGATCCTTCCGCCTCTGCCTTCCGAGAAGCGGGAACCACAGGCATGCGGCACCACGCCTGGCTAATTTTTTTGATTTATTGTAGAGGCAAGGTCTTGCCAAATTACCCTGGCTGGTCTCGAACCCCTGGGTTCAGGCAATTCTGTCGCCTCCACCTCCCAAAGTGCTGGGGTTTCTTTTATCCAACCTGATTTACCTCTGCCTTTTAAGTGGGTACTTGACTCATTTACAATTAATGTAATTATTATTGGGTTTACATCTGTCATTTTGTTGTTTTCCATTTATCTCGTATTTCTTTGTTCCTTTTGTTTTACCTTCTTTTGCATTAACTGAATATTTTAATACTTTTTTTTCTCTCCTTTGTTGGCTTATTAGCATAACTCTGTTGTTATTTTAGTGGTTGCTTTAAACATCCTGAACTTACCACAGTCTACCTTCAGGTGATATAGCACTGAAGACCCTTACAATGATATACTTTCATTTCTTCCCCAACCCTGGCCCTTGTGGTACCGTTATCATACATTTTACTTCTACATATGTTATAAGCACCACAATATATACTTTTTGCATTAAACAATCAACAATAATTAGAGAGACTTAATAAGACAGAAGGTCTTCTATTTACCCACTTGGCTACCTTTCTAGTGCTCTCTAAGTCTTTGTGTAGGTCCAGATTTCCACCTGGTATTATGTTCCTTCTGCTTGAAGAACTTTGCTTAACCATTTTGGCCAGGTGCGGTGGCTCAGCCTGTAATCCCAGCACTTTGGGAGGCCAGGGCGAGAGGATTGTCTGAGCCCCGGGGTTCAAGACCAGCCTGGGCAACTTGGTGAACTCTCATCTCTACAATAAATCAAAAAGTAAGCCAGGCGTGGTAGCAATCACCTATAGTTTCAGCTACTTGGAAGGCTGAGGTGGAAGTTTTGTCTGAGCCCAGCAGGTCAAGGCTGTAGTGGCTGTGAGCATGCACTGCACTCTAGCCTGGGCAACAGAGTGAGGCTCCAACTCCAAAAAAAAAATTTCTTACAGTTCAAGCGACGCATTCTTTCAGCCTTTCTAGGTCTTGAAAAGTGTTCGTTATCATCTTTGTTTTTAGAATATATTTGTGTCGGAAAAAATGTTGCTAGTTATTTTTCTGTGAGTATTTAAGCTGTGCCACTGTTTTCTAGTTCACATTGTTTCTGGAGACGATTCTGCTGTCGTTCCTATTCTTGTTCCTCTATACATGATGTGTCTTTTTTACTCTGGCCACCTTAAAATTTTTATCTTTATCACTGATTTTAAGCAATTTGATTATCATCTACCTTGGTTAGTTGTCTTTGTTTCTTGTGTTTGGAGTTTACTGGGCTTGTATCTGAGTGCTTACAGTTCCCATCTGAGCTGGAAATGTTTCAGTAATTGTTCCTTTAGATATCTTTTCCAGTCTCTCCTCTCCTTGAGGATTCAATTACATGGAAATTAGGCCCTTTGAATTTATCTCAAAATTCACTGATGTTCTGCTCATTTTTTTTCCCAGTCATTTTTTTCCCTGAGTTTGATTTTGGATAGTTTCTATTACTTCAAGTTCACGAATCTTTTCTTCTTTAGTGTCTAATCTGCTCTCCATCCCATTGAGTGTAATTTTTATGTGACATGGCAGTTTTCATCTCTGGAAGTTTGATTTCTTTTATCTTTCATGTCCTTGTTTACTAACTCTATCATATATGTCATTTCTGAATCAATTTTTACTGATAAATTCTTATTCTATATTGCATTTTCTTGCTCTTTTGCATGTCTGGTCATTTTTTATTGGATGGTAGACATTGTGAGTTTTACCTTCAATGCTGGATATTTTTGTATTCCTATAAATATCCTTGAGTTTTGTTCTAGGATGCAGTTAAGTTTGATCGTTTCATGTCTTGCTTTTTCTTCCTGATCAAAATTGGTGGTGTTCTCAGGGTACTGTGTGCAACCCTTTTTTTCTTCTCTGCCAACATAAGCTCATGTATTTTCATGGCTTTAATTATTTTTTTATGTATGTATTTATTATTTTTTTGAGACAGGATCTCACTCTGTTGCCCAGGTTAGAGTGTAGTGACATGATCACAGCTCACTGCATCCTTGAACTCTTGAGCTCAAGAGATCCTCTAGCCTCAGCCTCTTGTGTAGCTAGGACTACAGGTGATCACCACTACACCCAGCTAATTTTTTTGCTTTTTATAGAGACAAGGCCTCACTATGTTGCCCAGGCTGGTCTCGAACTCCTGCGATCCTTCCACCTTGCCCTTCCAAAGTGCTGGGATTACAAGCGTGAGCCACTGTGCCACCCTTTCTTGGCTTTAAGCATCAACTATCAGCTGATTAATTCATTCAGTGTTTGTTGATGGCCTACTGTGTACCTGCTATGCTGGGTGCTGGGGATTATGTGACTTTAAATAATATAGGCACCAGGTGCGGTGGTTCACACCTATAATCCCAGCACTTTGAGAGACCGAGGTGAAAGGATTGCCTGAGTTTGTAGGTTTGAGACCAGCCTGGGCAACTTGGCGAGACCACATCTCTACAATACATCAAAAATTTTCACTGGGTGTGGTGGCGTGTGCCTGTAGTTCCAGCAACTTGGAAGGCTGAGGCAGAAGGATCATCTGAGCCCAGCAGGTCGAGGCTGCAGTGGCCGTCAACATACCACTGCACTCCAGCCTGGGCGACAGAGTGAGACTCTGACTCAAAAGCAAAAAACAGGCACAACTCCTGCCCTCCTGTAGCTTACAGTATAGCAGACTAAATAATAATCAAATAATTACCTAGAATGGTATCTACATAGTTATTGTTGTGATAAATACGATAGAGAAAAACAGGATGCAACGAAGAATGCAAGCGGAAGAAGGGTCACTGAAGAAGGGTGCCTGGAGCTGAGATGAGACAGGTGAAGGTGGCAGGTGTCACGTAAGTCTCCCAGGTAGATTTCTCCAGGCCCCGAGGCCACAGAAAGATGGATTTTGTGACACGGCCCGCAGGCAGTCATGGAAGCATTTCGAGCAGGGGAATGACTCAGCCAGGCTGGCAGCTGAAGGTGAGTGATGGGCAGAGGCCGGCAGTGGGGCGGGAGGAGGGCGCGCCAGTGGGAGGAGCTGCTGTCGTCTGGGTGAGGGACTAGGTGGTCTGACGACAGTGGCAGCAAAGGAGATGGAGAGAAGAGGGGCAGGTTCACCGCAGGCTGTGAGAGAAAGGCTTCTGGGACGCCGCTGAACTTGACCTTCACATGTGCAAGGCCGGGCTCATCTCCCCAGGGCAGCTCCCATCTTGGACTCCGGCTCCAGGCCCAAGGCAGCACCTGCCCGCTCTCCCTTTCCTGGGGCTCTCAGAGCCACCTCTGTCACCCACTTCGGTGTCCCAGACTTGATCATTTCTTGCCTTACGCCTTTTTAGGGTGAATTTTTTTCATTGAGGTCAAAACATAACTCTGGCCACATCGGGCAGTTGTCCCTCGCTCTCCCCTCCCCCAGCCCCTGGTATCCATGGCTCTTCTGCTCTATGGATTTGCCGATTCTGGGCATTTCATATAAACAAAATCACAGAATATGTGGCCTTTTGGGTGTAGATTCTTCCACTCAGCATCATGTTTTCTTTCCTTTTCTTTTTTTTTTACTCAGCGTCTCACTCTGTCACCCAGGCTAGAGTGCAGTGGCACAATTATAGCACGTTGCAGCCTCAAACACTGGGCTCGAGCGATCCTCTCACCTCCGCTTCCCAAAGAGCTGGGATTACAGGTGTGCACCACCATGCCCTGCTAATTTTTTAGTTTTCTTTTTAGAGATGGGGTCTTGCTGCGTTGCCCAGGCTGGTCTCAAACTCCTGAGATCAAGCAGTCCTCCCACCTTGGCCTCCCAAAGTGCTGAGATTACAGGGGTGAGCCACCGTGCCTGGCAGTATCATGTCTTCATTGTTGGTCCATGTTACAGCATGTGTGTCTCCTTTTTATGGCTGAATCATCTTCCACTGTATGGATATATGTGTATTGCCTCAGCTGTTGAGGGACACGTATGTTGTTTTCCCTTTTGGCATCAGAATCGTGGGTAGTTCTGCTGTGATCTCGCCTTATGCTTCTGCAATAGCCTCCCAGTGCCCTCCCTGGTTTTTGTCTCTCCCTGGAAGCCAGACAATTCTTTCTAGAACTCAAGCCCCAAGCATACCCATTTCAGACACTTCCTTAGAACAAGTCCAGGCTCCTTAAACAGCAAGTTAGGCCTAATGACCTGAAGCTGGAGCCGGAAGCACCCTGGGCCAGTTCCAGCTCTGACCCCCCCAACGTGGCTCCCACCACAGGTGACTTCCCCCCTGCCTCACAGCCCGCAGAAGGGCACTGTGGTGGGGGGCGGAGGCGAGCTGCAAGGAAGACAGAGCTGGGTCCCCAGGCTGGACTTGGCCTCTCCCCTGGCCAAAAGCTGCGATTCTCTGCCCTTCTGTTCCTCTGGTTCCCAGGGGCTGGACCTCAGCCGGCCCTCAGTGACACTCCCTGCCCTCAGCACCCACCTTTTTTGGCAGCTTTCTTCGTCTTCTTTGAATCCTGGGAGAAACCACCACCAGATGAGATGCCTACTGGAGCAGGGGGAGGGGAGAGGAGCCCGCGAGGCTGTCCCTGGGGCTCTCTCCCCCGCCAGGGCCTCTGGCTGGCCCAGGAAGGCAGGGGGCTCCCAGTGAGGAAGACGCCCACCTTGGCCCACACCTGAAGGGGAGAGTCCATGCTCACAACGCACAGAGGGGTCCCTGCGTGTACACAGGGGCACCAGCAGCCTGGCAACCGCCCAGGGAAAGGCCCTTCCGCCAGCCTTCCTCCCTGCCCGTGAGCCGGGCCCGCTGCCCTTCCCTGCCCAGCAAGGCTTCCGTGGGGAGGGTGAGGGCAGAGGCGAGGGCACACGGCAGGGGCCCCGTACCCTGGCAAGCGTCAGCTTGTCAGATGCCAGGGTGCGGACCACCCCGAAGTTGCACACGGCGGACACCACGGGCTCCCCGGCAAGCAGGGGCTCCAGGGCCACCAGGCCGTTCCCCAGCACCCGCAGGACGGGAGGGTCCTGGCAGAGGTTCTTGGGAAGCTCCTTCTTCTTCTTGGGCCCCTTTTGCTCCTGCAGGGAGAGGCCAGGAGAAGGGGAGGCCAAGGCAAGGGCCGCGGCGGGGCCGCCCATCCCCACCTGCGGCCCCCCGTGCGTTACCTTGGCAGGCTCCTTCTTCCCTCTCTCTCGCTCATCCTGCCCGTCTTTCCCCTTGTCTTGCCCCTTGTCTTTCCCAGCATTCCCCTGGGCTTTCTCCTTTCCTTTCTTGTCTTTCTCTCCTTTTTCCTTCTTGGCAGGCAGGGGACTGTCGACGGCAGGTGGGACCACGGGCCAGGAGAGAATCTAGGGGCAGGAACATGGCCTCCGGTGAGTAGAAGCCGAAGGGGCTGCCTGGGTGGCCTCTCCTCGCCCTTTCTGGAAAGGCGCTGAGGCCTCCTGCACCCAGACGGCGGGGCCACACGATGGCCTGATGGGAACCCGACAGAGGGGAAGGGGGTGAGTCGGTTACCAGGGTGGTCCAGAGATGGAAGGTCAGGCACCACCCCCGCTGCCCACCTTCTCCTCCACGATGGTCACGGTGGTCCCCGCCAGCAGGAAGGCCTTCAGTGGCACCAGGTCCCTGAGCGTGTGCTGCATCTCATAGTTGCAGGGAATGACGTCGGCCCACGGTTTGCGGACGGTGCTGAAGAGGACTGTCCTTTGAAGGGGGAGATGAAGACATGGGCGCCGTGACTCGGGGGCTGTGACCAGGAACCAGGCACGGGACTGTGAAGGGCCTTGCAAGAAAGTGACGAGCATCAGAGCCCACAAACAGCATGATACCAGGGCCCGGCCATCAGCAGGCAGGGCAAGGGGACCAGAAGGCCGGAAGGAAAGTGGGCACCGAGGAGGACACCAAAGAAACGTGAGAGGGACCACTTCAGGGGCAGGACTGTGTCCTGAACAATCAGTGGAAACCAACCAAAACTGTGCCAAAGGGTTGTTTTTTCAGCTAAGTAGTGGTAAAAAAGTAAACACATCACAAATGCCACAAGTCATTATAAAGTGATGCTCTAATGGCCATCTGGGTTCTCTAGGAATATGTCTGGGGCTTGACAGACTGAATGTGGAAATTCACCTGGAAGAAAGAGCCAGAATTCCAAAGGACATTTTAAGGATAATAGGACTCGAACAGATATTTGTTCCCCCATGTCCACAGCAGCACTATTTACAATAGCCAAAGGGGAGGAAGAGCCCAAACGTCCACTAGCAGATGGATGGATACATAAAGTGTGTCTATCCATACAGTGGAGGAGTATTCCACCTTGAAAGGAAGGGAATTCTGACACATCCTACAACACGGAAAACATGATGCCAAGGGACAGAAACCAGTCACAGAAGGCCAAGTACTGTGTTCCACTTATATGGGACCCCAAGAGGAGTCCAATTCATAGAGACTGAAAGAAGAATGGCTGTGGCCAGGGCAGAGAGAATGGGGAGACAGTGTTTAATGGGGACAGAGTTTCAGTTTGGGAAGATGAGAAAGTTCTGGATGGTGGTGACGGTTGCACAACAATGTGAATGTACTTAATGCCAGTAAATTGTACACTCAAAAAAGGGTTAAAAAGGGCTTCAATTTTTTGTTATGCATATGTGACCACACACAGATAATTATGTTGTAAATGATGAACTTTAGGGGTGTCGTGTGGTGTTACTCATTTTATTTTTTACTTTATAGAGATGCGGTTTTGCTCTGTCGCCTAAGCAGGAGTGCGGTGGCATGATCACTACAGCCTCCAACTCCCAGGCTCAGTGATCCTCCTGCCTCAACCACCCAAATAGCTCAGATTACAGGTGTGTGCCACCACACCGGCTAGCATTTTAATTTTTAGTAAAGACAGCATCTCGCTATGTTGCCCAGGTTGGTCTTGAGCTCCTGGCCTCAAGCAATCTTCCTGCCTCAGCCTCCCTAAATGCTGGGATTGCAGGTATGAGCCACTGCACCAGTCCTGTGTTATTCATTTTCACATACCTAGTATCTAGTCTAGTTCCTAGCACACCGCAAATGACATTCTGTAAATAAATAGATTAATAAATGATTGAACGAGTTATTTGTGCCACTGGATCTTAACAGCATATGGGAAAGCAAAATTCTCAGAACAGAAAGGTACTGGGTCAAAAGTGGTGACACTAGCCTAGCCCCACACTGAAGTAGACTCCAAACTGGAGCTGGGCCAGTATCAGAATGTGGTGCAACCCCAAGTAGCGTTCTGCTTGGGAAGCGATTGAACAGATACTGCTTTACAACTGGACCACAGCCTGGAGGAGAATTTGTCAAATGCCGTAACAAGTTTAAAGCACATCCAAGTCAAACATTAACAAATACCCAAAGAAGATAGACTCAATCACTTCTTCAGCATTGAGGAGGGAGGAAGTTTTTCCTCAGAGAAAAGGAGATCGTGCTCAGAGATAAAACTGGGGGCCTGAAACATCATGGCGGGTAAGCCCAGTCCCAGGCTTGTGAACCTGGCAAAGCAAGTACGCAAAACCAGTGTTAAAAGGGAAACATCAAAATGGTGGAAATATATGTGATAATAACTGATTTAAAATACAGTGATGAACTGGGTGTGGTGGCTCATACCTATAATCCCAGCACTTTGGTAGGCCAAGGTGAGAGGGTTGCCTGAACCCACGGATTTGAGACCAGCCTGGGAAACTTGGTCTCATCTCTACAATAAATCAAAAAATTAGCTGGAAATGATGGTGCGAGCCTGTAGTTCCAGCTACTTGGAAGGCTGAGGTGGAAAGATCTCCTGAACCCAGCAGGTCACGGCTATGGTGGCTGTGAGCATGCCACCGCACTCCAAACTAGGCGACAGAGTGAGACTCTGACTCAAAATAAAATAGAATAAGATAAAATAATAAAATAAAATGAAAATACAGTGATGTGGACAGGTAGAAAGAATTCAAGATAGAATGCAAATCATTATACTTGCCAAGTTAAATAAATTTTAGAACCTCCTGAATAAAAAGTTGTATACAGCCTGGGCAACATAGTGAGACCCCGCTTCTACAAAAAATGAAAAAGTTAGCCAGGTGTGGTGGCACATGCCTGTAGTTCCAGCTACTTGGGAGGCTGAGGTGGGAGGATTGCTTGTGACCAGGAGGTTGAGGCTGCAGTGAGGTATGGTCACACTATTGCACTTCAGTCTAGACAACAGAGCATGACCCTGCCTCTACCGAGAGAGAGAGAGAGAGAGAAAGAGAGAGAGAGAGAGAAAGAGAGAGAAAACTGCATGAAAATATACAAAACCCAAAACCAGTGATATAAAACTTATATAAATCAACCAGAGAAGTAGGGAGAGGAGTTGACAATCTCTTTGCACAATCATCTTCTCCATGTGGTCGTCTTCCTAAAATGTAAACCTGATTTTGGTGTTCCCTGCGCAAAACCTTTCCATAGTTTCTCTAAGGTAAGACTCTTTTTCTCCGTCCATCTCTCTGGCCCTTCTCTTTTTTTTTTTGAGTTGGAGTCTCACTCTGTCACCCAGACTGGAGTGCAGTGGCTGCTCCCTTCCACCGCAGCCTTGACCTGCTGGGCTCCGGCGATCCTTCCACCTCAGTCTTCCAAGTAGCCGGAATTACAGGCATGCGCTACTATGCCCGGCTGATTTTTGATTTATTGTAGAGATGAGGTCTCGCTGCCCAGGCGGATCTCAAACCCGCGGGCTCAGGCAATCCACTCACCTCAGCCTCCCAAAGGCGCGGGATGACAGGCTGAGCCACCGAGCCCGGCTGTCTCTGGCCCTTCTCTTGTCAGTCCTCATCTCCCTCCACACTCAAACTTCTTGCTGTCACTTCCTACTTCCTAGTACCTGTCCTAGGGACCAAGATTTATCCTGTGCATCCAGTGTAACATACATGACATGTGGTATATTGAAATTACTGTTGTTCACTTCCTTCATGAAAGGGTGAGTGCCCAAACAGAACACACCATTTTCTGTCCTGTTTGTTGTCTGTAACCCTGACGTCCAGCATCATGCCTGGATAGGATATGCAGGTGATTGGTACTTACTAACCGTTGAATTTCAGGAATCAGAGATGGTAAACTAATTGTGTGGAAAATATAAAACTAAGGACTGTAACTTTAAAACAATCTAAGTAAAATATAATAGACTGCAAAGAAAATATTTTTAGAAAATCCATGTCAAAGTTCTATTTGAACAATGCTGAAGTCTAAATGGTAGACTAGACTATATTGGGCAAAGCAGCCTACTGAAAACAATCACACAAGCTAGACAAAATATGAAAATAATCTGTTGGAGGCCCTGAAGATCTACTAAGAGAGTGAGGGTCTTCAGTTCTAAAATCTGAACAAACAAGGACAGTCAAGAAGAATGAGCTTGATATTCGGTGCCACTTTAATCTGCAAGGTGAGAGCCAGCTCCAAAACTGCTGTCTGACAAGCTGTACAGAACTTTAAGCAACCTCATGGGGTCTAGAGAGATGCAAATTTGAATTCAAGACCCTCCAAGGAGAAGGGTCCCTTGGTAAGGAGAAGGGTCCCTGGTAAACACACCAGGTGTCCCTTGGATTTTTCTGAACAGCTACTAGAAGCACACATGATGAGGGGGCCAGAAGGAGAGAACAGAGAAAGAAGCAGAAAAATACTGGAATAATCATGGCTGAAAACTTCCTAAATTTGATTAACAACATTCATCTATGCATCCAAGAAGCTTGATAAACTCCAAGTAGAATAAATGCAAAGGGATCCATACCCAGACACATTATAGTAAAAATGTGGGAAGACAAAGTGACGATCTTGAAAGCCAGCAAGAGAAAAGCAACTCATCACATATAAAGGAACACCAGTCAGTAAGACTAACTGCTAACTTTTCTTCAGAAACTATGGCAACCAGAAGACAGATGACATATTCAAAATTCCAAGAAAAAGCCAGGCGCGGGCACATGCCTATAATCCCAGCACTTTGGGAGGCCAAGATGAGAGGAATGCCTGAGCCCACAGGTTTGAGACCAGCCTGGGCAATTTGGCAAGACCTCATCTCTACAATAAATAAAAAAATTAGCTGGGCACGGAAGCGCATGCCTGTAGTACCAGCTACTTGAAAGGCTGAGGCAGAAGGATCACCTGAGCCCAGCAGGTCAAGGATGTGGTGGCTGTGAGCATGCCACTGCACTCCAGCCTGATGACAGAGTGAGAGTCCAACTCAAAAAAAAAAGTCCCAACAAAAAAATTATTCTAGATGGCTTAAGAAGTTAAACCAAGCCAGGCGTGGTGGCTCATGCCTGTAATACAGCATTTGGGAGGCTGAGGCAAGAGAATTGCCTGAGCCCAGAAGCTTGAGACCAGCCTGAGTAACATGGTGAGATCTTGTCTCTACAATAAATTAAGAAATTATCCAGGTGTGGTGGTGTGTGCCTGTAGTCCCAGCTGCTTGGAAGGCAGAGGTGGAAGGATCACCTGAACCCAGCAGGTTGAAACTGTGGTAGTTGTGATCGTGCTACTGCACTCCAGTGACAGAGTGAGACTCAGACTTAAAAAAAAATTACACCAAAAAGGTTTTCAAATCCAAGAGCTGGAATGAAAAGGGCTGTCCATTTACCAGATCTCAACTGATTCAAGAGATTCAATCATTCAGAAAACCCGAGCCAGTCAGGGAAATGGATTTAGTTGCACTTTGAGGGGAAAGTTAGGACTCCAGGAAAAGGGGTTGAACATCAAACCCAGGTACACCCTGCGTGGGTCAGCTCAGGTGGGAGAGAAGCCTTAAGCCTTCCTGAGTTGGCTCTGGGAGCGGCTCAGCTTTTGTACGGGAAGGAGAGGCCTCAGTGTGGTCTGGGCTTGCTGTGACCCTAATGACCCTACCTCTTGGCCCTGGCCAGGTTTCCATCCTTACCCCGGGGACGGGCAGAGCCTGGGATCTATGTGTGGTCGCAACTTTGCCAGCTCTTCCGCAGAGTCTGTCAACCTCGGCAAAACCGCCAGCCGGCCCGAGACCTCAGACGACTCTGACTCTCCTGAATCCACTGCTTCAGACTCTGGAGACTCTTCGATGTCTCCGTTGACCTCTTCAATGACCTCCTCATGAAACTCCTCGACTGCTAATTCTGAGCTGAGTGAGGGCTTGACGATCTTCATGGAAAACACAGAAACTTGTCTGAGGCTGCCACCTTCAGAAAGCTCTCGCCTAATGCTGGGAATGTGTCTACACAACTGCCAGCATCTGGATAGGTTACAGCCTTAGCAAACACAGCAACTGAGCAAGCACACCAACTGAGAAAAGTTTTTAAAAACCTATCCTTGGCTGGGTGCACACCTATAATCCCAGCACTTTGGGAGGCCAAGGTGAGAGGATTGCCTGAGCCCAGGGGTTTGAGGCCAGGCTTGGAACTTGGTAAGACCCCCATCTCTACAATAAATCCAGAAAAATCAGCTGGCGTAGTGGCGTACGCCTGTAGTTCCAGCTACTTGGAAGACAAAGCAGGAGGGTTGCCTGAGCCCGGAAGGTCAAGACTGCGGTGGCCGTGAGCATGCCACTGCACTCCAGCCTGGGCAACAGAGTGAGACTCTGACTCAAAAACAAACAAACAAAAACCCAGCTTTGTGTTTTCTGAAAATGTTACATTAAGAGTGAAAACAGGCCAGGATCAGTGGCTCAGCCTGTAATTCCAGCACTTTGTGAGGCCGAGGTGAATGGATGGCCTGAGCCTGCGGGTTTGAGACCATCCTGGGTAACTTGGCAAGTCCTCGTCTCCACAATAAATAAAATTAGCCAAACGTGGTAGTGCGTGCCTGTAAGTTCTGGTTACTTGGAAGGCTGAGGCAGAAGGATCGCCGGAGCCCTGCAGGTTGACGCTGGGTTGGCTGTGAGTGTGCCACTGCATTCCAGCCTAGGCGACGGAATGAGACTTGCAACTCAAAAAAAAAAAAAAAAAAAGAGTGAAAACAACAACTCCTACATGAGAACCAACCAGAGACAGGGTCATCACGGTTCTCCTGGTTGGATGGTGTCCCTGGGTTCTCTTCCGATGTGGAGGGGACAGGAGCAAGGGTCTAGACCAAACTCCGGGCCGCTCTCTTGGTAGGCTCAGATTTCAAGGGGGCAAGGGGAGGGTGCACGGCTGAGAATGACTCCAGCTGCGAGAAAGGGGCCGAGCCGAAGCCAGGCCCTGCTCACAGTCAGGTCATGCACCGGAAAGCTCCATGTTGAGGACTGTTCTGGAACCAAGAAGCAGTTCTTCCCACACGAGAGACCCGGCGGACCCATGCGGGGAGCCCCCATCCCGGGGATGGCCCGGGGCGCGCACCTCGGCCAGCACGCCCGCATACTCATTCCCTTCGCCTTCTTCGTCTTCCAGAAAATCGTAGGTCACGTAATAGCTGTAAGTGATAAAGGGGCCTTCAGGCCCAGGTTCTGGGTCCAAGACAGAGGTGTCCAGAACCCCTCTGATATTTCCAATGGTCACCACAAACTGCGCCTCGTGTGCCAGGAGATCTGCAATGAAGAGCGGGCAGGACAAAGTGACCCGTGGGAACAGCAGTTCCCGGACTCTCCCCAGGCAGGGCTGAGCCTTAGAGCTTGGTAGACTTGGGTTCACATCCCGGCTCCTCCAAGTCAACCGGGATGATCTCGGATAAGTCACTGTGCCCCTCTCAGGCCACGCTCTCCTGATCTGTATAATGGGAGTGATAATGGCTGCTCTGCAGAGATGGCCACAGAGAGGGTTGGAGCCATGTGCCCCTGTTATTGTCAACATTTTATCACGCTGACCTTGACAAGGCTTTGATGCACCTTGCGGCATGGGCCACAAGGGGGTGATCTCAAGTCACCGTGGAAGTGAAGAAGCTAAAAGAACTGTCCTAGCCTCCCTAGACCCAAGGCCCCAAGTCCCAATCACAGGGATCAAAACCCGGGGGTACTCTGACGCAGAGGGGATGCTATTTCTGATGCGGGCCTGGGTCACGTGGGGAGCTGCAATGACAGATGGGCACAGGACCCGGTCAGGCAGCGGCTGAGTATCACGTGCCGCCCCCACCCTTGCAAGCCAGTACCCTCACCGCCACTGAGGCTGAGCCCCCGGAACTGATGCCTCTCATTGGGGGTCACGGTGATGTCATCCAGCACGCAGAGCCAGGCCAGGCTGTCAATGGTGAGGCCGCGGTAGTAGGGTACCAGGGCCAGCGGGTTCCCCTGCAGGACCAGCAGCCGTAGGTGCCTGAGAGTCCTGAGGCTGGCGACCATGCTCTGCAGGTCTGTCAGGTCATTGAAGCCCAGGTCCAGAGAGACAAGGTTGGGCCTGGAAGGGGAGCAGGACCATTCAGGGGTCAGGAAGCCAGGGAGCAGGGCGGGCAGGCTGGCGGCCAGGACAGACGGGAAGTCTGGGGCTGAGGACTCGGCCCATCTTTGGCCTACACCTTGTTCTGCCCCTGACTCAAGGTAACCCCGTGTTGGGAACGGCCTCCTCCACTCTCATACCACGGGCCCCTCAGTCTGAGCCACAGAGACGCCCGTCACAACCCACTCAAGGGCATACCCTCCAGGTTCCCTGGGGCAGGAGAGAGGTGAGGTGGCTCTGCCCTTTCCACGCTTCCCCAGGTGTGAAGGACAGCCATGCATGGTGCCCAGCGTGCTGAGAGCCCGGGGCTTCTCACAGCGTGCTTTGCCAAGCCCTCCTGGTCCAGCTTCCTGTGATGGACTGTAGTAGGTGGTCTCTGACCCCCTCATCCATCTCAGATCCAGGATTTGAGACTTTCCACTGCTCACTCACCAGGGAGACAAAGGCAAACCTCAGTCATTGGGAAGTGAGTGTGCTCAACTTCTGATCAATAGTGAGTCTTTTTTTTTTTTTTTTTTT